CTCCTGACGTGTACCGAAAATAAAACCCCATTTTAATTTCATTGCGTTGCATTCCACTAATTTGTTTTGGTTTCAGCTCTGGTTCCCGCTCCCTCTATTTCCATTTGCAGTATTCTTTTAGGGACTGGGCAGGGGAAAGTACTTCTTGCACTGCCAAAACATTTCATTTTCATTTGTCGTCCATTAAAATGCATTAGGCGCAAGCAAGCCTGGGTCCCTGCGCCTCCCTGCCGAGTGGAAAACCGAGCAGTACTGTGGCTAAGGCTTTAATGAAATACTCGTATATCAAGAAATTGAAATTTATTATATCCCAGTAAGACAAATGGAACTTCAGCTGAACCTCGAGAATTTGCGGTTTTTATTTCTAATTTATTTTTGGAGCATAATGTTTTATGGGCTTCAGCTAATTACGAATATTTATATATATTTTATTATTTATTATTATTAGATTCTGATATACAATTTTCAAGCGAAGTATAACAGAAACTTTTAAATTCTAACGAAGGCCAACTCAAGTTTCTGCTCAATAATTCTGGCCTTAGGGTCTTGTTACTAAATACAGAGCCTGCTGTACGCTTTGAGAAATAATCTGTGGAGGCTAGAAATTTGCAAAACAATTTCACAAAATCAAATTTAATGACCAAAGTCCATGGCAACTCATTGCCAAGAATCTGCAAACTAGCCTGGCATTAATTTTTAATTTCTGCTTTTTTTTTACATCCAACATCATGGCTTCTGGTTCCTGGCAAACGAAAAACTTTAACAGACCGTACAGCAAAAGGAAGACGGAAAAACTTTGCGCATTGGGTAATTATGCGCTTATCTTTGTTGCCAGCTTATCCTGCCGAGCTGGCCCAAACCCAAACCAAACCAAAGCCCCTCCCTAACTACCCCACACCTCACACCTACATCGCTCTTAGCCCGGTCTAATTTCATTTAGCATGCAAATCGCGCAGTTCTAGCCAGCTGCTGATTGCTGTCGAGTCTTTTGAAAGCATTCCGCGTTCGATTGTTTTTCTACGCAAAAAAAGCCAAAACATCTCAGGAAGCGGATTTTCAGTTGGAGAACAACGAATAAGTTTACTCTGGTGTTTCATGGTATTCATACAAATTCATAGAGATAGTCATAGTAAGGTTAGTACTATACAGTTATATATTAAATTCAATCAATCAGAAGCATCCTTTTTGTGACAAAAATTATCTATGGATAAAATTGATACATTACTAATTGGCATCATTAATTGGACTAGCAAATATGTATAAAATAAATTTGTTTTGGGATAAATCTTATTAATCATTTAGATAAGCCCCATTTAACTGATTCATTGCTCATCATGATAACAAAGTATGACATGTATGTATATGGACTAATGATAATGTTTAAATATGTTTGGATAAATAAACGCATAGATTCTTCTTGCAATCAATATCAAGCTAAGCAGATTATGCTGCTGTCCAAGCGCATATGCCTAAGAGGCGAAGAGTATGAACAACTTTGGCCAAAAATCTCATTAAAAGTTTTCGGCATTTCTCGGCTCGTCTTTGTTGCGTCTTGAATTTGACTCACAATTATTTGGCATAATCAGCCAGAAAGTCGCGTGTTAACCTGGCCAGGACCAAGGCATGGCTCGGAGAGGAGGCAGGATAGCGATAGCGAGCGGAATTGTTGGTGGCCATTCATGCGTGTCGGGTAGAGCCAGGGATCGGCAGAGTTGGATGGGGGGAGAGGGGAAAGGAAGAGCAAAAAAGGTTCACCTATAATTTGTTTTTATGTATTTTAATTTGTTTTGTTATTGGTCAGCAGCCGGCCACAAAAAAACTCGTGCTGCACGCAATTTTTGGAAATTCTTGAACAAAATAATTGTAATTTATTTTTTAGAATGTTGCTGTTGAGTGAAAGTAAAATTTTAAAGAAATCGAGAGTAAAACAGGGGCGGATATTGCGAATAGAAGAGGCATTTATAATATCCTCTGCTTGCTGGGTGCACATGCCCCTGACATTTAAGCTTGATACGAGCCACTGACTACAGCAACAACAGAGGCACCACCAGGACCAGGAGCAGCAGCACAGAAGCAGAAGCAGAGGCAGCAGCAACAACAGCAACATTTGTGGCAGCCAATGTCAGAGAACGCCACTCGCTGATTGGCTGCCTGCAGCATGCTGCAGGCCCAATTGTTGTTGCCACTTCTCTTCCTGTCCAATGTTTTTATTCCCAGAAATTGAAGATGGCCCACAAATCTGCAGCAAGTTTATCAATTTTCTTACCTGAACTTTTGGCGCTACATTGGATTCGGGGAACGACTTCTTGAAATGGCTTCTAAACGGATTTAACACTCGGTTTTCACACGCTTTGAGCACTTCGCATGTTGCATGCGTATTTATTGTTGCTGCGATAAAATAATTCTCTTAGTTAGCAAACTATTCTGTCCTTTCGACACACACTTTAAAGCATATCCTTCGAGGACTCTCAGCTCTCGGGTTGGCTGTCACCAAACATTTGCAGGCATTATTCAGATATTTTACACGGGCCACAGCTTTCGATGCGTCTCCCAAGCTCTCGATTTCGTCGTGTCTTGCGTTTGCAGAGTCTGTCGCCCAACTGAACTCGAGAGCGGAGCAGCAGACCGTTCCAAGCCATCGGTGAATGCAGAAAAGCTATCACGAAGAGTGCGTGTTTCTGTTTCCATTTGTGTGTGTGAGTGAGCGTGAGAGAGAGAGAGAGAGAGAGAGGTGAAAGTGAGGTGAGAGTGTGTTGGTGGCAGGAGCCACGTGAACGTGCGTCAGCTGTGCCACGCCGAAGGGAGGCCGCGCGAGACATGCCAAAAGCATAATTGCCTCTTCAAGCCAAGCCGCTCTCAAAGCTCTCTGGCTCTCTCTCGCTTCCATTCGAGCTTCACGTCACCTGATGTGGCGTCACTTTTTTCTACATTTATTTTCTGGTTGTTGTTTTGTTGCAAAAAGCCGGTTCTCTGCAATGGTAGTGGTAGTGGTAGCTGGTAGCTGTTAGCTGGTAGTAGAAGGATGGGAATGTGTCAGAAGTAGGAAAGTTTAAGGGATAAAAAGGCAACTACATACATACGATTATTTATATTGGTTGCTTCGAAGGGTAAGACCGCAAAACGCGATTTCAAGCAGGTGGGCTTATAAATGATGGATGAGTCATTAGTCAGAAGTGAAGGTCTGCTTTGCCAAATGCTGAAAATCGATTGAAGTTGGATACAAAACGTGATGATGGCGTTTACTTAACAAAAAGTCAAGCTCTTTCATCTGACAGTGGTTTGTGGCACAATCATAACTCGAGCACCACAATATACTCGGAACAGAAGTGTATTGGCATAAAAGTCAGACCAGAGGTACTGTGCCGTTAAAGATGACTTCATGGTGGATTTTCGCATAAGCAGCTCGTCTCGGGGTTCCTAACCCTTCTTAGCCGATCTTAACTCTAAAGCTCTGACTGCCTTGGCGCCCTGCAGAGACGCCTACAGTCCCTGCCATTCAATTCAGTCAGACACAGCGGCGTCTGCTCTCAGCGCCAATGCTCTCTCTTTGTCTCTTTCTCTCTCTCTCTGGTGTTCTCTCGCAGTGAGAGCTGGGTGGGTAGTCGAAAGGACGCCTCAGTTAGAGCCAGCACGTACCTGCCCCAATGTTCGTGCTCAATGAAAAGCTGCTGTGCTCTCCCGCAAAAGCTCTTCGCCAAATTTGATGTAACACATTCTATTCTGGCCTGGCCCCCATGCAATATGCAGGGCGCTTCCTGTCTGGGGCGGGCGGTGGCCTGGCAACATCGTCAGCGGCTGAAGGCCGTCGGAATCGTTTTTTATTAGGAAAGGTTAGTTGTGGTTGTTGTTCTTGTTGGCCCGGCTGCTGCAGCATCAAATTTTTAACAGACAAAAGCTGCGCGTTGTGCTTTTTGCAAGAGGCGTGGGCGTGGCTGCGCCACAGACCTTGACTGCCACACACATCACGACTCGGAGACTCGGCATCGGCCAGAGTTGCAAAATGTGGCTGCAACCGGGGAGCCGAAGAAGCCGAAGTGGCAACCAAACACAAGATAAATGAAGCTATCCTATCCCTTTGTTGTTTGCCCACCCAACCTAGGCCAGCAGCCGGGGGTTGGAGGTGGGGAGGTCTCTCTGACAAAGTGAAAGTGCTCGTCCCTCTGGCCCGCAGACTTTCCCTTTTAGCAGAGTCCTGCCCCTGCCTGGTGGCATCTCCGCTTAATTGCAAGCCCCGGCGATTGTTATCACTGCTGCGCTGGCAGGTTGGCATTGTTGCATTAAAATTTTATTAGCAGCCACTTGCCGTGGAAAGCCTAGAACTGTCCGTAATTGGCAAAGTTCTCCGAAGTGTTCTTTTGCACAATCCTCCCCTATGCCAAGCCTGTAAATGGTAAAGCAAAATTGTTATTAAAATAAATTAATTTATGCGCTGAGTAGTAGATTTAAAGGAAGCAACGCGATGGAATTAATACCTATGGGTAGAATCAATTTTTGTATATTTCCGGCACCGTTCTGTTTGAATTTTGTTTGAAGAAGTAACTGCCACTAAGATGTAAGCATTTACCAGCACTTAAATCTAAAAAAGTTGCTTTGAAAGCAGTGAAAGCTCTGGGAAAGTTTGTGAAAGCTGAAAGCTAAACGATTTACAGTGATGTGGCAAGGTTGTCGTCTGGCATATTAAAAGTCTAACAGCCAATTCGATTTGAATTAAAAATTCGACAAGGAAGATATGCTCTGATAATAAAATAGAAACCAGCAAGAATTTAATACTCTAGAATACATTAATAAATGTATGCAATTTTCGACCAGGCTTATGATCCTCTGTTCCCTAAGGTTGATCTTTCATTTGCTCATTTGGCTCATGTTCCATTCGTGTATTGGGGCCATGACGCTCTGATTGTTGAATACCATGGCGACTCAGCTTTACTCTGGATATCTTGTGGTATATGAGCACTGATATTATATGTACTGGTATGTCCATGATTATATTGTACCACTTGTTGTACCAACGAGAGGTGTGGATGTCTGACATGCTGACAATAAATCGGAGAAGTCTGTTAAAATATAAAGACAGTCACGCCGAATGGCAAAATATTCAATAACTCCATAAAATAAGTTATTAACTTACTAGATTATTTGACATATTTGGATTGCCTACTTTTTCCACTTCCATTTCTAAAGATTTTCCAGTAAGTGCTGTAAGCCGGAGAGTCCGTCCTGGCAGCCCTCTGATTGCCAGCCGCCATCAATCCACATCGACCGTTTCATAAACCAATTCAGTTCAGCTATATACGAGTACATATGGTAGTATGTAATTTTTGCATATTTTGTGGCACTTTAATGCGCTTATGCCTAGGGCGACAGCAGACCAAATATTTATGTAATGCCGTATTACTCAATTAATTGATAAATACACCCACCCATCTACAGTGCATCTATGAATACATACATAAGTGATGAGTATGCGTGTGTACACATTAATGCAATTATTTTCTGCATTTGTCGCAGTCGAAAAACAGCAAAATATAATTAAAATGCTATACAATTGGTGCTTGGAAATTCGCTTCGGTCTTTTACATCGCGATAAATATACATATGAATGTAATCAAATACTGTTCTATAAATAAGCACACATATGTCATTCGCTATGTACATATATATATATATTTGAGTTTAATATTTTTCTTTTCCCTCCAAGATGAGCTCCACATATTTTTTCCTGATTGCATATACCTGTAGACATATAAGTTGTTAAGCCTTTGTTTATTTTCATTTAAATCGTGTTTGCTGCAGTTAATTATATTTCACAGCTAATGGCGAAATGTCAGAATAATTAAAATGCCCGCCACAGTTTGGAGTAAAAGTTGTCCAGCCCAAGGGATGATAGGAATGGGAATTCCAATGTGGAGTCCAATGCGTAATATAATTGACAGGCGGTTGCCTACTGTCAGCGCCGATTAAGGTGCAAAGCCGATTAATTATAAATTAAATTTATGATAAATAAATGCTGTAAGTCATTCCACTGCAGTCACGCGACGGGAGCAAGAGTCGCAGCTATCATGCGAAGGGAATGTGTACGCATGCACAGATTATATGCCTCTGCCGCTTAAAAGGGTTCAACATTTTGTGATTCCATTGAAAATTATATTTTAAACTTCAGTTTGAAATTATGTGCGAGACAAAGGACTGTCAGTGGACCAAATGAAGCGACCAATGTTCCGCAGGCCAAGGGGAATGGTGTGGGGAATTTATTATTAATAGACAAACGCATGACCAGAGGCGCGTGTCATTTGAAACGTTTTGTAATTAGCCGACTGGAATAATGCACAGCGGAATAAAGCCTATGCGAAAAAAATGAAATAATTACACGGCACGAACCAAAACATATATGATTATAAATTAAAATCTAATTAAATTAGCAGTCGGCCAGACAATTGACAAAATGAATGAATACAAGCAATGAGAGACAAAAGTCGACTCATTACGCATCACTGAGAACGCATAGAGAACTGAATATGTAATTGAATGAGAAGGGTTCGGCTGAGCTTGGTCGTTTGACACTTAAACATTTGATTGTCTTTAACGTGGGTCTAATGGCTAATCAGTTGGGTCCGGCTGGCATCGAGTGGGAAAGAGGCGGCTCGCCCAGGTTCTTTGCCTAATTGCCGGCAGAGTTCATTACCAAGGCTCTCCATCTTTCATACGTTTGTGCATACATACACACTCGTACATAGACGAGACGAGTATGCTAGTCTCATTAGCATAGTGATATTGATTTTCCGGTTAACCATCAATCAACAAAACGCCACACACACATGTATGCGATGCATGAGATTGCTATGCAATTGAGGCTTCAAACCGCAGCACGCCATGCCCGAGTGCCTTAAAGCGCCTGCTTGGTATTCGTATGCAACAATTTATGTGGCACACACCCAAAGACCCCGCAAGACAGGGACAGGACCGAGGGAGAGTGGGCGAGAGAGCATCAGCGTTTGGCTCGGAGGCTGGGCTTGGAATTGGTCTGGAGCCAGAACCAAAGCCATAGCCAGAGCCAGAGCCAGAGCTGGTTGTCTTTGCGCGGTCATTGGGTCTCGATAAACAATTATGGCCTGTGCTGGCCTATGCCAAGTAAATTTACAACACGACAAGAACAATTAACGTTTGCGCAAATGTCACTAATTAACTATTAAGCTGAAATTTCACTCAGATGGAGAGATATATGCATGCTCGTATGTGTGCATGGGCATGTATTTCATCGATAAATTACAGACAGAGCAAATAATGAGCGCAGCGCATCGAAACTGACAGCAAAGAGATGACAACTCTGAGGGGGAATCGAGACCATCAACTGATTAACGACAAAGGGCTTTCTCATTCGGAAATGACATGCCGAATGTACAGCAATCAAGCAAAGGGAACAGTTGCTAGAGGAGTTCTCACAATATTGTGGTATCGTTTAGGAAGTTAAGTTTGTATTGTATTTCGAATGAACTGCACACAATTTATTTCTGAAGGTATTATTTTAATTTACTCCGATGAGTAGATGCCGTTTAGTCTTGCAGTCCCAGATGCATCCATCCATCATTTTATAGCCAAATAGGCCACAGATCATTGCACAATGGCATTTTAAATATGTAATTCAAGTGAACAAATTCATTCATTGCCAGTGGAAAGGTTTCCGTTGCAGCAGTCACTCAGGTGCCATCGCAGCCCATTACCTGCCAGTCAAATCTCAGTGTTCCTGCATAGTGGGCCAGCAATTTAGAAGTTTATTATAGTTCAACTATATGCCAAAAATATTCCCACACACAAAACCACAAACACCCAAAAGGAGCAGCCTGTTCTGTTGCAACTTGCATTGATTTCCACGCAGACACTTCCTTGCCTCCGGCTCTTCGGCTTCTCAGCTATTCTCCATTTCTTTACCGCATATTTTCTCCGCCTCTCTGCCGCTCCCTCACAGTCAAAGACACAATCAAGTCGTCTGAACTTGGTATTGCCATTCGTTGACTGACTTCCGCTCTATTTGCTGCGACAAAGTAATAGTAAAATTTCATACTTCCGCAAAATCTTTGTTATCCCCACTCACACATACACCAGAGGGTGTCTTTGGTGGCTGCCATGCCCACATTCTGGTGCCACCGACCGCCCCCTGGCTTCTGTCGCTTGTCGCATATTTCGTGCTCGCTCAATTATACGCTAAAATGAAGCTGGTTTTCAAGTCGCGCCCCGAGGCCAACGTCAGTCCAGTTGAGCCCTACCAGTCCCAGTCCCAGTCTCAATCCCAGTCCTTGTCCCTGTCCCCAGTTCCAGGACTAAGCCCCATCTCCATCCCTGGCCCCTCGCTGGCATTCCTGCGCAGCCCTTACCCAAGCGATTTAACTGTTTGGTTTTGTTGGCATTTCATTTAAGCGCAGCAGCAGCATATTTTGTTGCCATTGTTTGCAATGCGTCCGCATCCGCATTCAGTTCCGCTTCCCAGGGCGCCCAATTGCCTCCTTCTCACTACTTCCGCTGTCTTCCTCTGTTTCGCTGCTTGTTGCAGCTTATTTGGGGCAGCTTTAGCACGAATGTAAATCAGTTATTGATAGTCGAAATAATGAACGATTTCATTTGCATAGTTAGGGTTTCAGTTTCTGTTTCCGTCGCAGGTTTGCTTGAGAGCAGCTAATTGATCTGCTAGCCTGATTACGAAGAGCATTTGGCAAAGTTGGATCAATTTTTCTCCTATCTATGTACTAAATTGTATAATGCGTAGATATTCTTCCTTATCTTATTATTAAATATTAAATCCGTTGAGCATGTGGAATTCCAGGAGTGACAACTGCAACTGCATCTGCATTTGCTTACCGAAAGAAATGTGTCAGCCGCGATACGGCATGTGTGTATATGTACCTACATAAAACCGGCGAGCAACTGCATATCAGACCCGTTCCCGTGCAGCGAAAGTGTGCAAAATGTTGCGCCAAAAGTGTGAGAAACAAAAAACAGACCAAAGCACCATATGATGTACAGTTCGTGGCTCCTTGCAACAAAATAAGGAACAAAAACAGGAAAACCTTTGACAGGTGGTTGAGTGGCGGAGAGCGGGAAGTGGCTGGGCTGGGCTTGACATTGACTATAATATGCCAAACACAAGCCAAAGCTAAAAACCTCGCTTCGACCATTGCTTATGCACGAAACGAAATGGGGAAAAAAAAAACATGTTGCATATTCCAGAAGCGACTGTGCTAATGTGTGTGAGTTCATGTGTATGTGTGAGCTGCAGAGCAAAGAGAAAAACTTTAACTACTTTTTCAATTGTTTGTAAAATGCAAATGCGACACCGCCCCCTTCTACGCCGACTGTGTCTGTGTCTGTGTCTGACCTGCCCTGCCCTGGCTTTCGCCTTGTTGGTCATATGCGTTATGCATACAATATTCTACTCTTTTTTGCCTCTTTTGTCCGACCACCAAGACATGAAGATATGATAACGCTTTTAAGCCATTCGAATGGCATTGTAAGTTACTCAAGTGCGAGTGCGAGTGTCCGTGCTTGCCGGATTTGCTCAGGGCTTATTCAATTAGAAATTTATTAGCAAACCGCCTTCCATTCGGTTTCGGGTAATGTATCTTTGCGTTCACAGAGATTACACTTTGTAGGTGTGGTACCGTTCGTATTTTAGCTATGTATGAAGTTATTTTTATGTTTTAATAATATTTTTCAATAATAATAAAGATTTCGCTAATACGATTCAGATAATACATACAACGAACGCTTCGCTCGTAATTTATTCATTGTTTGCATACCAGTCTATAAAACTCAACAATATTTGTCCAATTAATGTTGAAACGAAATTTCAAATGACCCTTGACCCCACTCTGCTAATAATTTATTTAAATTTGAATTAACATTTTTTTCCAATAGCAGTTTTTGCGACTAAAAAACTAAAGGTGCAGAGGACTTTAAAGTCTTTTTAGTGGATTAAATAATTGTGCCAGAAGGATGCTATTCTTTACACTTAAATGCAAATAAACCAATGAAAGAAATGCTTCCTAAATAAGGAAGACACCCAGACATGATGGCTCATCATTGAAGCCGGCTCCCCGACAGCAAACATCAATCAGGCCGAGGCCCAGGCCCAGGCCCAGGCGAAGCCATTGAGCCGCCAATCGCCTTGCGCACATAAGTAGTAGTTGGCAATTGGCACACAGATACACCCAAAAGATACTTACATACTT